TCTGTGACGTGTGGTAGGGAGAGAGGGAGACAGAGAGGGAGAAGGGAGGGAGACGGGAGAGGGGAGAGGGAGAGAGAGAGAAAGAAGGAGAGGGAGAGGGAGAGGGAGAGGGAGAGGGAGAGGGAGAAGGAGAGGGAGAGGGAGAGGGAGAAGGAGAGGGAGAGGGTGGGAGAGGGGACTGCCTCACAGTCCTTGAACCCGCCCTGGATCTCCCTTAGAGGGAGACTCGCGGGATGGTGGCTAGGATAGCCGAGTAGGAAGTGAGAAGCGTTGACTACCTTGTAAGCATGAATCGTATATCTCCTGTATGCGTTTAACCCCATCTATATCAATGAAAGGACCATTAGAGAGGGAGAGGGGAGGGCGAGAGGGGAGAGGGTGAGGGGGGAGGAGAGGGGAGAGGGAGAGGGGTAAGGAGAGGGGAGAGGGGTAAGGAGAGGCGAGAGGGGAGAGGGAGAGGGAGAAAAACGGCAGAGAAAAATCGATCGAGGCCCGGCTGCAGCAAAGATGACATCATAGTAAAATAGGAAACAAAAATCTACTATCATGAAATCACCAGATTACACCAATAGAGAATCATGGAACGGATTAAAGAAAAAATCACTGACAATTGAGGGTACTAAGGTAAGGCTTAACAATCTCGTTGTCAACAACAGCGAGCCAGTGAGTAACGCACATTCGCTTCACCAAAATCTGCCGCTTCTCCCGCGGAAGCCGCGTGCGCCAGTCGGGCTCCGCCGGTGCTGCCTGCGGGCGCATGCCGCCGCCACCGCCGCCGCCGCGCCGCCGCCACCACCGCTCCAGTCACCTTCCATGCTCAGTCGCTGCTCACGAGTCGCTTTTTGAATTGGCTTGAAATTTACCTGCAGTCGACAAAAATTAAGAGTCGGATGAAAAACCGACCGCTAAGGACGTGCAACAACAGACAGGCACGTGTGTGGCAGTTGAAAGAAATCGAAAAGGAACCCAAGTGTTGCGAATGGGAAGGCGGGCACAGAACTGAAACGACTCTCGTCGCACACTGCAGCATAGGACATGGAGTGGGTGATATTAGGATGGTAGGGACACTGTTCTTAGGGTGCTGGGAGGGGACAGCTTGACACACGGGTGTTAAAAAATAGTGCCCATCTGCCCTCACCCCTCGCCTCCTTCTCCCCTCTGCCATCACCTCCCACCCCCTCATGCCATGCCATCACCTCCCATCCCCCCATCCCATCACCTCCATTCCCCCATGCCCATCACCTCCCATACCCCCCTGTCATCCCCTCCCTTCCCCCTCTGCCATCACCTCCCTCCCTCCTTTGATATCACATCCCCGCCCCCCATGCCATCACCTCCCTCCCTCCTTTGATATCACATCTCCGCCCCCCATGCCATCACCTACCTGCCTATCTTGAAATTGACGCTCTGGAGGGGTTGAGTCATGCGTTTTGACGCTTGACGCTGGTCAATGTTTTTCCGGGCAGTGAAATCGCGACTTACAATATCAACTCGACATTGAACATCCCTCACAAAACAGAAACACAAAAACATCCTCCACACCACATTGCTTGCACCGCAATGCAACTAGAAAATCCAGCCAACTAGGTTTACAAGAACCAGTCACGCTAATTTAGGTCGTCACGCCACACTTCCCTTCGCAAGCTTCTCGACAAAAATTAGGATAGATCGCCTATTTCCTGTTCCTACGGCGTTAGATCGCCGTTCCTCTCCTATTAGCCCTCTTCCTCTTAGAAGTTTTTTATTGCTGCCCGAATATTTGTTTTCCGCTGCCCGCCAGAGCGTCAAAACTGCGTCAAAAGAATCAGGATTGTGCATCAAGCGTCCAGACGCTAGCGTCATAGACGCTTGACGCATCAATTCCAACATAGCTACCTTCCCCTTCTGATATCACCTCCTCTCCCCCTCTGCCATCACCTCCCTTCCCCCTCTCCCCTCACCTCCCTACCCACTCTGACGTCGCCTCCCTTCCCATCTGCAGTCACCTCTCATCCCCCCTGCCGTCACGTACGCCTGCCCTTCACCCTCTTTGCCCCGCCTTCACACACTTTCCCCAAAGCCCTCTTCTCTCTGCACGTCATACCGTTTCCTCGCCTCATTCCGTCAGCTCTGCCGTCCCCCCTCCTCCCTCCCCCCTCTCCCCGCTTACCTCTCGTCCCCGCACGCGCGCAGACCTCATTCACCTATAGCACATGGGGCGCTCATTGCGCCAGCCATTTCATACCTTGCGCCAGCCATTTCATACCGTGCGCCAGCCATTTCATACCGTGCGCCAGCCATTTCATACCTTGCGCCAGCCATTTCATTTCATACCTTGCGCCAGCCATTTCGTCCCGACTTCAGTTTCCTGTTTCGCCATACCCGCGTCTGTAAAATCAATGAGGATTTCCCCCTCATCCGCCTTGCCATGGTCGACCTCATCCCCTCCCCCCCTCCCCCGCGCCGCTCACTTTTCATGCCATATGCCCTTACCCCTACCCCTCATTTCCCGCCAACCCTCGACTCCCATTCCGCCAACCCTCGACTCCCATTCCGCCAACCCTCGACTCTCATTCCACCAACCCTCGACTCCCATTCCACCAACCCTCGACTCCCATTCCACCAACCCTCGACTCCCATTCCACCAACCCTCGACTCCCATTCCACCAACCCTCGACTCCCATTCCACCAACCCTCGACTCCCATTCCACCAACCCTCCCCCCGCATGGCGCCTGCCTTTCCGCACCATTCCGCCGCCACAATACTCTGAGTTCACTCCCCGTTTTCCCCCTTCATTTCGTAAGCCTTGCCGCGTCACTCCTGCAGTCGATAGCCTCCCTTACCCGTCTCAGCGGTCACGTCTACAATCCACTTCGATTACGCTCACCTCATGAAAGCGTGCGTCGTCGTCAGGCACGACGCAGCACCTCACTCACGCGCTTTGGCTAAGAATGAGAATAAGGGAGATAGGTAAACCGTGTGGACGAAATCGCAAACGTCCAGATCTCTGCTGGAACGCTGGCAAGTGACTGCCAATATTAAACAGGCGGCTATAACTCTGCCTAGAATGATGAGGACTTCCAGAGTACAATACTGAGCCACATATTTACCTTATACTGTTGGGACGGTACTTGACGTGTGACGCACTTCAACTGGACTCCGCTCACCCCTCCCTGGCATCATTGGAGAGTCCGAGAAGGAGCGGGTGGGTGGGAGAACCACGGCGCTGTTCTCCAGGCAGGTGGCATTGGCATGGCAGCGGCATCAGTTTCTGCCGCCAGAAACTTCCCCTGCAGCTCGAAGCACTTTCCCTGTTTGGGAAATTTCGTATTTCGGCTGAGGAAAGCGGGAGCCCGAGAAGCGAGACTTCCGCCCCCTGTTGCAACAGTTTCGTCACGGGCCGTGCAGAAATTTTAGCAGCAATCTGGGGCAGGGTTGGGTAAAAAGAGATCTGAAAACGAAAAACTAACCGGTCCCCACAAACCCTGGTCGTCAAGCACGTTTCTTTTTACAAGGGCGCCTTTGGTTGCTGTTTTCTTTTCAGCAGGGTGAGATTGCGGTTTTCCCAACTGGCCGATGCCTCTGCCATCTCGTGGCCAACCACCTCTCTCGGGTGGTTTGCCACGGGGTGGCACAGGCACCACAAAATGTCTAAGAGGGAAAACGCAGGGAGGTTTCGAACCCTTCTGATGCCGTCGCCAAAAGGCATGTTATGCAGCCAATGCCATTATGACGGCATCGACAGAGATGAAACATTTGTTTGGGCTGCCCCCTTAAAAGTCAACGTTTTGGCAACTTCTCTGCACATTCTTCCGACGGCATCGAATGCCTGGAGAACAGCGCCAATGTGTTAGATGCTGTTATCATGCAGCTTGAACTGTACTGTGCTGTAAGGGCGGGTGCACTAGCGTTCAAAAACACTAAAGCTCTGTTGTGACTTGCTTTCATGAATATCGCACCTCACCTTCGTGGGGAAATTTGAAGAAGGTTACACTTCTGAGTTTGACTTGTTCGCATTCCCGCCAACATTCGAACAACACTCAGAGCGCGGCTCGGGCTCCAACTTGTGCGGCGTCACGACTCGCGACCAGATTCGCATTTTATCTAACCCAATCACATGTTGTGCGACGATGGCGACAAGTACCGACATGAAGCTCGAGGCGACTTGTTTGAACCTTGAAATGTGTTACGAGGGGCCAACATCATAGACATGCAAATTAGTATGGTAACCCTATCCAATGGTATGCAAAACCGTCTTACCTCAGTTTTGGAGGTATTGACATGCTGCCCTAGAAACACGTTTGTTTTTCATTCAAAGACTGATCCTTACCGCGCTTGCCTTCGCACTATAACGTGATTTCTTCGGGCCAAGAAAAAAATAAACCCCAATCGGAACGGGATGCGTCAGGGAGGCATCAACCCTAAAAACAATGTCCTTTCCCGTGTTTAGGGTTGATCCCTCCCGGAAATGCGTCCAGGTCCCTAGGGGTTTTATTGTTTTTCAGCCCTGCCCTAACACTTCTCGGTAGCAATATATTGGGTGCAATAAATTGTTACAAAATGGACCCCGTATATTTTTATTCCAATGGATTTTTCGTAAATGTATCGTGCACATTTAGCGGAAAATAGTAGCCCGGAGGAATATTTGTTAGGCGCCAAACGGGGCGCTGTAAGAACCACGAAGATACGAAATTGAAAACAAAACTGATTATATCTCATATTTCTTCCTTTTTTGTGCTGCGTCAGCTGTTACACAGTGTTTTGAGTGGCGCTACCAGACAAACTTGCGCAGCAGAACTAGGGTATCGACGGTTTTGCATACCATTGGATAGGGTTACCAGACTATTTTGCATGTCTATGATGTTGGCCCGTGTTACGAGTGTCCGAGCTATTTTTATAAGAATTCGCGCCAAAGGGCACGAGTTCGAATAATGGGTGTTCGAATAGCATTGACAATAGTTCGATTTCTAGTTCGGTTTTCACAATTTGGAGGACAAGTGCACACGCCCTCATGGTCTCC